TGTGAGCAACAAGACATCAGTGGGCCTCGGTGAAACAAGGAAGGACAATGCCCAAAAGAAGATAGAGCAAAACCCAACAATTGAGCCCACTCAACCAAAACGCAAAAGGACAAAAAATGTGAACCAGAGGAACGTTGAAGGTGGTACGGAGAAGGAGAAGCTCCTCCTTGACAACAAATTCACAGCTTTTGGATCCTTATCCGATGAGTCATCAAATACAGCTGTTAGCTAGAAGATAAGATTTGCTTTTTTGTTCTAAATTGTTCCTCTAGGTCTCTATATGAAGAAGAGAAACAAATATTGTAAGTTTCATCGAAAATAAGAGTAAAAATTCATCTTTTCAATTTCATCTACATATCAAGCTCATCAGCATGTATATCTATTGCATCCATACATGCAGGGTAACTATGTAAACGAGATCTAGAGCTAGAGATTTTACACAATCATGACAGAAATAAATTACTTTCGACACGTGCTTTCTATCTGAGCTCAAGAAAAAATTCATCCTTGACAAAGCAATACCTTAGATGAAATGCACTTCAGATCTGGAGCTCTTGAGAAATCACTTGTGTTTCCATGCCTCGCGTTCCACTCTTCACGTAGGTAACTATGATCACGTGGGCATGTAAGTAGTTTACTCATGATCTACATCAAATATTCATGATAAAATTCATGCATTGGACTAGGCATAATAAGTAGAAGTGAAAAAACGGAAGAATAAAAAGACGTAAATTTATAGAGAATTAATGAAGTCTTCCCATGAAAAAAAAATAATCATGAACTGCATACCCAAAACCACATAGACAACTTTGTTCTCAAATGAAAAATTGGATCCAGCCTCCTATGCATGATTTGCACCCATCACTATATTAGCCAGCAATAACTCTCGAGACTAAATTCAAAAGCATTCTGACTCAAAATGTTCTCTTGAAATCCAAATGTCAAGAACTTTTAAATGCAATTGCAATGACCTTTAATGAAATGGTTTAGAGCATACCTCGGAAAAATGTTTATGAGACCACCTTTGTGGCTGCCTTTAATTGAATCCAGATGCAAGATGCAGGGAAACCTTGGTGGGTTTTCAACTTCATCATCAGCAGAGTGAAAAAAAATTCATTAGCTGTAAAATTTAAGTTCTACGAGGATAAGACAATAACAAAGGAAGCTAATCTTACCATGAGAAGGAGCTGATTCACCAGGATGACAGATGATAATCAGACTCTAGTGAAAACTGCAATCAAACGCAAGTATAAGTCATCTTATCAGCGGTAAAAAAAAAATAGTTATGTGTGTGACATGTATTTTCACCTGCAGTTTATAGGAATAAATATATAAGAGATAATGTCTGAAAATGTCACATTTGTAGTTTGTAATTACACAAATGTCACATTGTAGTTTCTAATCACAAAAATGTCACATTGGCAAAATTCGAACGAAAATGCCACTGCTTTATATTTGTTCGAGTAGTATTTAATGCATCTATTTTATGTCAGTTTTGAGCATTTAATATGGATTTGACTTCTAAATAAGAGATGTACGTACATTACCATATACACTATCATGTACACAATAAGAGATGTACTTACACTATCATGTACACATACTCATATAAACATGCGTACACTAGCATGGACACAAATTATATAACCATGCGACATCCGTGTCTACGTACACGTACACTTAATGATTACATGGTTACAGTGTACGTGCATACGTTAAAATTAAAAGGGTATATGATGTACGTATGCGTATACCATATAGTTGTGATTACAGATGAATGTCTTTGTGTGGTTTTGTCGAGTGCACATGAATAGTGACTTCAAGCAAAAAATTGACTGGTGTACCAAAAATATGTGTACAACGAGAGCCACTATAAACCTATAATAATTAGATATGTAGTGTACATATAGTTTCACTTAGTGTACATATGTATATGTGAGTCTACATGGTATTTGTGTACGTGCGTCTAATATTCGTGTACTTGCAATTACAGATGTACGAAAGTTTTGTGTACATGTGGCTTTACTGGATGTACATGACTGATAACACA